AGCATTCAGAGAGTGCCAGGAGCTCTCTAGATCTGGCTCAAGGAGTAGAAAGGGAAATTCTAATATTCAAAGAGAGTGCAGAAACCCTTTTGTTTCATTTTCCTTTCTGTTTTTTACATCCCGTCTTACATAAAGTCCAGTGGTAGTGACACTGTTGACTATTGGCAGTGGGAATCTACAAGAGTCAGCTCTGAGACCAAGGACCCCTTCTTCAGTAGAGTTATGTTTCTGAAAGGATTAAATGGTATGATCCATTTTAAGATTTTTAGCACAGTGTCTGGAACATAGTAAAGCCAGTCCCCGTTGTTTTTCCTCTCTGTCCTCCATCCATGTGGCCTTGGACGCAAACACAGTGGCAAAAGTACACAGCCTCAGTCTTTTTGCCAAAGAACAAATAAAAGGAACCAGGAAGTATTGGGAAGGTTACAGAGAGGAAGGAACTCTGCCACAGAAAATTGATCCCATTAAGTTGTTTATGAACTCTTCAGTTCACCCTGCCCCCAAAACTACTCATGGATCTTATCTCATGCAGTATACCAAAGACTTGAAGAGCTGCGCTCAGGAAGACCACCACTCAGATCCCAGGCTAGAAATTGGGAGATATTCACGTGGAATAGGCCCAAATAGCCTTGCCAAAGTTTTAAAAGTTTAACTGATTCTGGAATCACAGCCCATATAAGGTAGGTTGAGCTGGAACCTAGCCAGGGTGCTTTCAGAATCAAACTGAAATTCAATATTCTTTACAGGATTTAAACAAGATCCAGAGCTTAATAACATTATTCAAAATCTTGGAATATAATCCAAAATTACTCAGGACACCAGGAAATGAGAAGATCTCAACTGTTATGGGAAAAGACAATAGATGCAAGCATTGAGATGTCACAGATGTTGAAATGATCTGATAAAGACATTAAAGCAGCTATTTAAAAAGTGTTCCAGCAAGGGCTGGGTTTGTAGCTCAGCGATAGAGCGCTTGTCTCGCATGAGTGAGGCACTGGGTTCGATCCGCAGCACCACATAAAAATAAATATAAATAAATAAATAAAAACAAAATAAAGATATTGTGTCCATCTACAATTAAAAATACACACACACACACACACACACACACACGTGCTCCAGCAAGTAACCATGAAAATTTGAAACCAGTGGGATGGTGGGGGGGGAGTTACATAATCTCAGCAAAGAAAAGATACAAAAAATATCCAAGTGGAAATTTTGAAAAACACAATAACCAAAATTTAAAGCTCACTAACTGGTCTCAGAATGGAGGAAAGTCCGTGAAAAGTAAGATAAACCAGTACAACTTACCTAATCTGAAGAGAGAAAAAGATTTTGGGGGAAAAAAAAAACATTATTTTTTTTGAAAAGAGCTTTGGAGACCTGTGGGACAGTAATAAAAGATCTAAAATTACACCGTCAGGGTTTCAAAAAGAGGAGAAAATGTAGTGCTGAAAAAAAATTGAAGAAATATTAACTAGAAACTTTGCAAATTTTGTGAGAAACCTTTGTACTCAAGTTCCTGTCCACACCCAGATACATGATAATGAAACTGGGGAAAACTAAAGTGATACAGAAAGCATCCAGATAAAATAACTTATTACCTATAGGGAATCAATGATCTGAATGACTGGATTTCTTAGCAGAAATCATGAAGGCAAAAAAGAAGTAGCACATTTCTAAAATGCTGAGGGAACTGTTGACTCGGGCTTCTTTCTATATCCAGTGAAACCAGCCTTCAGGAATAAAAATTAAATAGAGCCAAATATGGATCAAAGAAAACAGATAAGTCATTATCAGGAGACATTACCTAAAACAAATTATTACAGGGAGTTTTTCCAACAGAAGGGAAATGACACAGAAAAACTGGAATAAAGGAATAACAAAAGAAATGGTAATTATCTGGGTTGAAAATAGATTTAGTTCTTGAGTTCTTAAAATATGTTGAGGACATTCATCCCAGCTATTCTGGTGGGGCTGAGGTAGAAGGATCACTTGAGCCCAGGAGTTCAAGGTCACCCTGGGTAACACAGGAAGACATGATCTCAAAATAAAACATAAAGGAGGTAGGCAAAGAGACTATATAATACTTTCCTGCATTCCACTGGAAGTGGTGAAATTTATTTTAAGTAGACTGAAATCAAGTATATTCAAATCCCTCAACCAACCATGGAAAGAACTATGCAAAAAAGATGTTTAATAAAAAGCCAGAGATGAAATAAAATGGAATGATAAAATGTGTTTAATTAAAAGGGAAACAAGAAACAAACACAAAAATAATTCAATGGTAGACCTAAATGCAAATATATCAGTACTTACATTAAATGCAAATAGTCTGAGCAAACAAAGGTGATCACAAAGGATTTTTAAAAATTACTGAGCCAAATATATCTTCAGTATAAGAAAATTACTTCAAAAAAAATATACCAGATAGGTTAAACCTCCAGGAAAAGAGATGACCATGCAAATATGCTAGTCAGAAGAAAACTAGCATGACTGTATTAATATTAGACAAAGTAAAACTCAGAGTAAAGAAATTTTGCAGGGAGAAAAAAGGACAGAATATATTTATTAAAAGGTCAGATCACCAAGAAGACATAATAATCATGAACGTGATCACACATAAACACCTTCAAAATGCATGGAACAAAGCTGAGACGACTGAAAGAAACAAAAATCCACAATAGCAGCACTACATTTTCTCCTCTTTTTGGAATGGTGGCACATGCCTGTAATCCCAGAGACTCAGGTTGAGGCAGGAGGATCAAACTTCGAAGCCAACCTCAGCAATTTAGTGAGATCCTAAGCAATTTCTTTAAGATCCTGTCTCAAAATAAAAATTAAAGGTCTGGGAATGTAGCTCAGTGGTTAAGCACCCCTGAATTCAACCTCAGTACAAAAAAAAAAAAAAGTTGTTCCAGAATAACATTTGAAAGCCAATGTAATTCTGACACTGTAAAGTTAGTCTGGAGTTAACACAGACTTTATAGATTAAGAGCAAAAATTTCAGGGCTAGGGATATAGCTCAGTTGGCAGAGTGCTTGCCTTACATGCACAAGGCCCTGGGTTCTAATCCCCAGTACCACAAAAAAAAAAAAATGAGGCTCCCTCATTCTACAAGTTATAAGCTCTGGTATTCCCAGAAGAAATACATAGTGTAAGGTTTGCAAGGGTCCCAGATGGTAAGTGGCAGTGTTACAGGAACATAATAATAATGTTTTATATCCTCAGCTCAAGTTACTCTCCCAAAGCACTGATATGGGATTATCAACCAGGAACCTTACCCAAGCTTCAGATACCCAGAGTTCCATTATGTACGAATGATTGAATCATTGGCTATGTGATTAAATTCAGACTCCATCCCCCCCTTTTCCTGCTCAGAGGATGGGATGATATCACTTGGTTTAAAACCCCAAGTCTTTAATTTACATGGCTGATCTTTCTGTCATGGCCAGCCCCTATTCTGAGTTATCTCATTAGGTTAAATTCAGTCAGTCCCAGGGGCCCACCATGAGTAATAAAGGCACTTTCTATTACTCAAGAAATTCTAAATAAAGATTTAAAGATTGTCTCCTAGGAAACATGGACAAAGACCAGAAAATTCTTTATGTACAATAAATACCTCAATACCCCTTTCAGTAACAGTACTAACAACTAAAAAATTAACAAGGATATAGAAGAATTGAATGAACAATATCATCAACCAACTGAATTGAATACACATTGTTTTCAGTGCTTGTGAAATAGTTTCATATTACGGAAACTAGCCAATGCAACAAGGCAAGAAAAATAAAAGACATTTACTTTGGAAGGGAAAATAACTGTCTATATTGATAGA